TACGACTGCAAAATTATTTTGCGGTCATATAAAAACTCCTGATTTTATGTCTTATTAACTAAAAATAAACTTAATCCATCTATCAGTAAAATACAGGAAAATTTTTAAACATATTTTCAAAATTGTGCTTTAGATGTTATCTTTTAATCATTAAAAAATATTTTGTTCAATTTTTTGAAATTCAATGAAGGTTGGACAAGTTTTTTTTTTTTTATGTCCAACACCTTTTATCCCAAATCTAAATGTTAATTTAAAAAAAAATAAAAGTCCATTTATCAGTCAAATATGGAAAATTAAATTTTTTTCTCAAAATTTGGCACTGGATCCTGTCTTTGATGCCTTAATTTGGTCATGATGGCTTACTTGTAGATCTTATCTTGCTGTTTTTTTTCCTTCTATCTTTTATAATTTTAAGTAAGTTCAAAAACAAAACTAGAGGCTCTCAAGAGCCTGTGTCGCTCACCTGTATTTACTGATGCTTTGGAAATCATGTAAAATAAGGTTAAAATCATAATTAATAGTATTAAATATTAGATATTATAATGATATCTAAGATAATAACAAAAACTGCAAAATTTCTGTAAAATTACTAACTCAGGGCAGCAACCCAACAACGGGTTGTTGGATTCGTCTGAAAAATTTCAAGGCAGATAAATCTCAATCTGATGAACATTTTTGTCACCTGTAAGATTTGCTCTAAATGCTTTAGTTTCAGAGATATAAACCAAAAACTGCATTTTACCCCTATGTTCTATTTTTAACCAAGTCGGCCATGATGGTTGGAAGGCAGGGTCATCGGACAAATTTTTTAAACTAGATACCATAATAATGATTATGGCCTAGTTTGGTTTAAAAGTCTCAGTAGTTTCAGAAAAGAAGATTTTTGTAAAAGATAACAAAAATTTACGAAAAATTGTTAAAAATTGACTATAAAGGGCAATAACTCCTAAAGGGGTCGACTGACAATTTTGGTCATGACGACTTATTTGTAGATCTTACTTTGCTGAACAATTTTGCTGTTTACAGTTTATCTCTATCTATTATAATATTCAAGATAATAACCAAAAAAACTGCAAAATTTCCTTAAAATTACCAATTCAGGGGCAGCAACCCACCAACAGAGTGTCAGATTTGTCTGAAAATTTCAGGGCAGATAGATCTTGACCTGATAGTCAGTTTTATCCTATGTCAGATTTACTCTAAATGCTTTGGTTTCAGAGATATAAGCCAAAATCTACATTTTACCCCTATGTTCTATTTTTAGCTATGGAGGCCATCTTGGTAAATTGGCGGGGTCATTGGATACAATTTCTAAACTAGATACCCTAATGATAATTGTGGCCAAGTTTGGTTTAATTTGGCCCAGTGGTTTCAGAGGAGAAGCTTTTTGTAAAAGGCTAACGACGACGACAACCTGGACTACGGACAACGGACGCCAAGTGATGAGAAAAGCTCACTTGGCCCTTCAGGCCAGGTGAGCTAAAAATTGGCAAAACTTGCTATTGAAGTATACTTAGTCCTTATGGAAATCATTAAAGCTTTCAGTCATGTTGACTTCTGCGACGCCACCCAATTTCAAACTTGATCAATGTTTTGTGGTAATAAGCATTGTGTATAAGTTTTATAAGATTTGGTTGAGGGAAACCAAAGTTAGAGAAGGGAAACCAATTTTGGGAACGTATGGACGGGAATGACAAGGGTAAGTATGAAGTATGGTATGAAAACATTGTCATGGCCATATGACATTTGTTAGAGAGACATATAATCCTCACAACCAATCCAGTAAAAAATATTTGCTTCCAAGGCAAAAATTTCCATTTTATTAAAACCATTCTTTTTAATGGAATGCATGTAAATCCTAGGTAATGTCACCTAAATCAAGCTGTTTCTCCTTGGCAATAGTAATCCAATACATAACAAATGTTTGAATAGCTCTAGGTAAAATTGATATTGGAACTAAGATGGGAAGTTCACAAAAAATTAGGAATCATGCACCTTTACAAGTGGGTGTGATATCATTTAGAGCCTTATGGATTAATACAGAACTTATATATTTTTTATCACAGAAAACATGAAAAGTTCACATCAACCTTCATAGCAGCTAATATAACAATTACCCCCCGCATTGCTATTAATATATCTTTCCAAGGTTCAAGGGCAAAAACAAAAAAATGCACTTTATTTTTTTGCTCTTTAGAACTTTTTATTAATATCTTAGAGAAATAAAAGCTTTAGAGCAAATGCAATGTGATTTCCATTATAATTAATATTTCCAAGGGGCACAACTCGTTAAAAATATTTGATCAGAACTTACTTTCGAAAGTGTCAAAGACATTGCTGATATAAACCTATGATATAAGTTTCATAAAATTCTGGCATGAAATTGAACACATGAGAGCGCTAACAATGCAATTTTTCATAAAATCAATATTTTCAAGGGGCATAACTCTTTTAAAAATCATTAATCGGCACTGATTTGTTAACTCTTCAAAGACATTGATGATATAGACCTATCATTTAAGTTTCATAAAATTCTGGCAAGAATTGTACACATGAGAGCACTAACAATAAAATTTTCCATACAATTAATATTTCCAAGGGCATAACTCTTTTGAGAATAATTGATCTGCACTGATTTTTGAACACATCCGAGACATTGCTATCATACACCTATGATATAAGTTTCATAAAAATCTGGCAAAAATTGTGCAAATGAGAGCACTAACAATGCAATTTTCCATATTATTCATGTATCCAAGGGGCATAACTCTTTTAAAAATAATAGAGCTGCGCTAATTTTCGAACTTGTCAAAGACATTGCTGATATAACCCTATGATAGAAGTTTCATAAAAATCTAGCAAGAATTGTACATGTGAGAGCGCTATCAAGACCGGACGGACAGAGGCAAGGTATTTCTATGTTCAAAGCAACGTGTTGTGCTTGGGGGACAAAAACAAGATGTGCTTTAGTTGCCAATGAGACAACTATTGTCCAGAGACATGTGCTTTAGTTGCCAATGAGACAACTATTGTCCAGAGACCAAAGAACAAGGATATTAACAACTAAAGGGCACTGTACAGCAAGAACGTGATAAACACCATCGGATAAAATCTTTTAATTGGAAAACAATGTTTTAAATTCTATGAATAATATTACTGAATATTTTCAGACACATATAATATGGTTTCATAATATCCTATACAACCTACAGATTACCTGAACACAGAACTTATAATTTTACATTAGGCTTTGAAATTATTATATCTAGAGATCATACATCAAGTTGTGTTGTTCCCATCACCCAACTACTGTTATGCTAAAGTGTTTACCCTTTTACAGAATTTAATAGAAAATAAATAGCATCCACTAAAATTCAAGTAAACAGTCAAAAAAGACACCCTTAATTAGCAAATCACTACCTACAAAAGACATTGGGAAAAAAAACATCCATTGCATGTAAAAAATTTCTTCAATGAACTTTAGTATAAAGTGCCCATTTTTCTTTTCCCCTGGATGTCCTTTATACACAGGTTTGACTGTAATTGCAGGCTAAGTTCTATCTGAATCATAGATGAATACAATAATTCAGGTTACTAAATCTACAAGGCCATTTATCATATTATTGCACATGTAAAGTTCAAGCTATAATAATCACTACACATCACTGATTTTACTCCAGCTGTTTGCCTCAGTAGTCAATGAAGTAAATGCAATCCTGGGTAAAATATACTATATATATAAGTCTTGGTAAAAAGAATTCTTCAAAGATGTGGATCACATTGCCTGATGACCAATTTATCTCATAGAACAGGGGAACATTTTTATATTCAAATTTCTAAAGGTTTCTGGTTTTTTTAAGGAAGTAATTTATTTCACATCCAAACATGGTGCTCTGGGATCACTATATTGGGTAGTGTGCTGTATTTTTTAACTGACACTACATGATTATTTCTAAAATCTCAAAACCTACTGTCAAAAAAAATGTTCAAAAATTAGTTTTTACAAAAATGATAGTATTGACTTCATTGATATCAAATGTAGTCCCTAAAGTGAAAATATCTTTCACTCTAAAAAAAATACTAAATGCATCTTGGGTCAAATAAAATACGAATCATATGGTATAAATTCATATTATAAAATGTTTTTATAAAAATCAAACAATTTGGAAAAATACACAACAAAAAATATTACCATGAAAGAGGACATATCACACAATTCACAATTTTAAATAGCAGAAAAAAATTCTTCTTGTCAACTTTTTCACTTAAAATTCTCTTACCCCCTTATAATTTACCACAGAATAAGATTTGATTTGTGTATTTGATCTATTAAAAAAAAAATACACACCAAACAACAAAAATTAACCTGTGAAAATATACCTTGTTCATACTACAAAATTTGCAAGGAGGCTAAACCCAGTAAAGAAATTCACTTTCAAAAACTAAAAAAAAAAAAAAACACAGACTAACGATAGCTTAAGAATGAACAAAATGGGATTCGTTTTTACAAATTGTATAAAACAGTATTACAGGTGCCTAAATTTTATATTTCAGTAAGAGTCTAATATTTGCATCCGAAAATTAATATATTGTTGGTATTTGATGTAAAAAGAATTACATTAAAAACGGATATACATGTAAAGTATTATGTGAAGCTGTGGTAAAGACATCATCGCTGACCTACTTTGCTTTCAAACTACAGTTTTACATTTTGTTGTGTATTGACCTTATTTTAACCCTGTTTCATCCAAATTAAAGCATTCATTCTACTGCTACTTATATTGGTTAAATCAATCTAGGTTAATACCAGGTTAATACCAGGTTAAAACACCATAGTGTGAAGAAGATATAAGAGATAACTGAATATACTTTCCCTTTAACATAGTTACATGTATAAACAACAAAATAGCACCTATACATAAGCAAATTCGGCAAAATAACAAAATTTGTAAAGCACTGTTGATTAATAAATAATAGTTTTGGTTAATGAAATACAGCTAGACTGACATAAAATTTTAATTAAAAAAAACTCATCACAAAACAAAAGCTGTGTACACTGCATGTCTAAAATTCACTTTTAACGAATGGTTTGTTAATTCAAATCAACTTTGTACAAAAAAATCTTCTTATAATAATATTAGTACCTTTATAAATAAAGCTTGAACATAAATCTATCACTACTTTAATATAAAATAGTCAACGAAACAAGAACAGTCTTTAATGGTACATAAATTATGGAGAAAATAAAGAAGCCCTTGATAGTTTTGATATCACAGAAAAAACACACTAGACAAACATGGGAAAAAAAAGGCTTAAACTTTATAAGCAAGTTAGCAAAACAATAGCAAAACTAAAACTAACAAAATATTTTTTCTTCAATTTATTCCCAACCTGCTGATTTTTTAATACAAAAAAGTGCTGAAAGTTTTTTTCATATTCATTTCTTTTGTGAAGTAGTAATTTTCATTTATACAATTTACTTGAAAAATGAAGCAAACTTCTTACTTTGATTTTCAGAAGAAGGAAATAGGTATTGAAATTCAAGCTTTTTGGTCAATAAATAAGGGAAAATATGATTAAAATAGTAAATAAATTGTCATAGAGTTTAGTGTACTTTTAACTTGTCTTGTTTCAGTATAAATTCTTCAGATGAGAAAGACTTCTTCATATAACAACTAATATATCATAAAATTTCATTAGTGATAATATCTACAACATGTGTGATATATAATACAACAAACAACAAAAACTTGACCCTGTAACAGTTATAAACAATCCATAAGAAAGGCATAATACCTGAATGAATGTAATCGATGTTCAAAAGGGAGATAACTCAAAACTAAGGGGAATAACTACAGACCAGATCAATTAACAAGAATGTTAACGTGTTTAATATGAAAAGTAAATAAACTCTAGTAACCCTGAGATTAAAAATAAATATTAATTGAGAAGTCTTGATGGTTGGAGAAATAATAGTTATAAAACCAAAGAATTTTTCTAACTGTCTTTAAGGACTCAGTAATAATACATCTAGTTTCATTGAAAAAGCAGATGTAGTAGGATTTCCATATAGACCAACATCCATTGAAAAACCAAAGGTATGATTCTAATTCTTCCAATAAAGGGTATCAAAGTGTATATAAATATCTTAAAAAATCAAGGTTTAATATTATGTTGGTGATAGTGAATGATGCAATATAAAATAAATCAAGTACAATAAGACATGATTTTTTTTTCATGACAATTTCAAATTTATTGGTTATAAAGAGATCAAAATACAACATCATTTAACATATGAATTTACATGATAATATATCTGCTAATGATTTTCACAACAACAACCAAGCACCTTTTTATTCAGTATAATCTAAACCAATATTTGACTTTTTAATACCCTTCTATGAATGCTGCAGTCTTTTCAAGAGCAGAATTTCTCTATTCCTAATTTTGACAGCATTGCTTTTGATTTCTAGTCCATCATGGGATTATATAAAAAAAATGTCAAAATTTCTAGATAAATATTTGAGCAGAATGCATTGAAGAATCTGTACCGTGCAGTATGTACTCTTTTATTTTTTTGTTATCCTGTAAAGAACTGAGATAAAAATCAAATGGAGATTTAGTAATCTCACAAAGTGTGTGAAATGGAATCCTTACTTCATATTATAACCTATTATTATATATATAAAACAAGATATGACTTCCAGCTATTTTTCTTGTACCATCCTACTTTTGAAATTGACTCCTCTATAGGAGATCTTTATGACTAAATAATGTGTAATAGTCTGTGTATTTCAAATTAAGTAAAGCGTCATTCTTCCAAAAATTTGGCAAACACTAAAGAAAATTATGTTTTCCAGAACTTATGAAAATCCAGCACATGGGTTCATTGATTGTACAAGATTTCTCTAAATATCTTTAGGTTTTTATAATATCTGTGTGTGTATATTAGTTATAAAAACAGAAATTGGACAAATGTCTTGACTCAATTTGATATAAGAAAACAATTTCTAACGTCAGACACAATTTCCATCAGGCTACAGCTTCTCATTGTAAATAACTTGAGATCACTAAGAAATAATTTGGATTTCATACTAAAGTCTTCAGAAATTTTCAATGTTGGAGTCACACTAATCTACATGTGAAAAAAGTTGTTAAACTCCAGAATAGTTTCATAATTGTTCTAAAAATAAGTGCTAAACTTACTGAAAATATTTTCATTCAATACTTAACAAATATTTGCAGAAAATTTCAGAAAAATGTTTTGTAAATTGAAAAAAACACTGAAGTCACTCAAAACTTAAAAACATGTACACATACATAATTTTTTACAATTCTTTATACTCAATTAAAGGTTTTATTATATTCTAATACAATTCCTAGCACTATTCATATATACTATCTTTCTTTAAAATTTGACACACTTGCTACATTGTACATGTCTCTTATTATTCATTTTCTGTATATTATAGCAAAAATAATGTAAATAAGCAACCCTGTTTTCAGCGAATATTAATAAAATTTTAATGTTCATTTTTTTTAAGTCCTTTTCAAAAGGAAATTATGGGCAAAACTGCTCTAGCATTTTCCTTTGTCAAAATTTTCAGCACCTTGGACTGCCTGAGTCTGCCTGAGTCTAACTTTTTAGTTTTTTATACAATGCTAGTATTCTGTTAATAAATATTGATATAAAATCTAGTACTTCGTGGTTTTCTTTCACTATCTGAACAGGAGCTGGTAGTGGATTCTGGATTGGGAAGTGTAATGCTAATACAAAGTCAACATTTTGGTTTGAATTAGCTTAGATAATGGTAAAATTTTACTTATGCACAAATTTAAGGTAGTGTATGCAGTGGGTAAGGCCCTCCTTCAACTACTCCTGTTAGTAATAATTCAAATAAAGCTGTTTAATATTGAAAGTCCTTTGTAGGAAGAAAGGAGTTTACAATTTCATTTTATCCTAAAATTTTGCTTCAACAATGCTGGTCATTGCTACAGAATAGGACTTAGCATTAGAAACATACACTGACTTAAGATAAAATTATACAGTCAATTGTTCATTATTCTTGGTCACTTTCTCCATCACTGGAAAATGTCTGAGATGACAATGATCCTGGCTGTGGTATAATTTGATGAGAAATATGTCTGTAATGGTCAAGCCATTCTTCAACCATCTGTTTGACCACTAGTGGACATTGTCCTAACTTCTGCAAAGCAACTGTATGTCCAGCCTTTGTTACACAGATATCTAACCATTCATGAAGAATACTCTCCTCTCGACCAATCTGAAATCACAATTTTCTTCATATATTTTCTATAGATAAGAGTGCAATTTAAAAGCAAAATATAAGGCAATGATGTAGCATCTTTTGGTAATTTTTAAGTTAATGTTTTTTCAACCATTTATCACTCTGGTCTACCAAATTGTACATGAATACAAAATAAATTTTAACTGTGTTATTATAAGAGTTTAATAGAAAAGTAATGGTATGAAAGAAACAAGCAAAGATAATACAGACTTTACTTTACCCTGTACTTAAGAATTAGGGTTCAGTTTGGGGTTAGGTTAGACATTGTTCTAGTTGTAAACAAAGGAAGATAACCCTCAGTTATTTTCTAATGACAGAATGAACACCTGTATTTATTTAAAGTAAATGTAATGTATTTCTATATTTTTGATTCCTTTTACATTTTGTATGAAAATATAGTAGAAAAAAGTTAAAAAGGTGAAAATGAAGATAATAATCAAATTGTCCTAAACTATTTGCAGAACTATATACTAGCATATTAAATTGTGTTTGAATGCTTTACTTGTTTTGAGTAAATCTTGCATATTGTTAACCTTTACAAGTCCTATCTACATGTATATGCAAATATTCTTAACATAAAATAAACTGTTGACACAGAGATATGTCTCACCTGTTGGCAGGGCTTAGAAATAGTCGTCAAACTATGTACTGATAGTAATGCAACTTTAAAGAAAATATCATTGATTTATCACAAGTAGTTCCTATCAAACTGACTTTAGCAGAAAACTTAACAATTGTTGACACCACCACCAACAATGATGCTGCCACCGCCGGAAAAACAACACCTATGTCTCACATGCAATGAAAAATAAAACAATATGCTGTAGTTTTCTTCTAAAGTGTAATTTTAATAGATCAATTTAGAGTTCCTTTTTATGAATGATTTACACCTGTTTACCGAAGTCAATCAGTGTATATGACGTCATTGAACAATCAGCTCTTACTGTAAGGTAATAACCTAAAGCACTGTGATATTTCATTTGTAATCTACAGGAAAATGCAAAATTCACAGTACTGATGGTTTCTGATGCACTTTCCAAAGTACCATACAGAAAAGATTTAATTATTTTCTAGTTATGTTGACTTCGTTTGAAAAAACAGGCAGTTCTTGTGGGTCAAAATATATGTTTATTTCTACTGTGCTACTTTGCTAATACAGTCCTTGGATGGTGTAAACTTCCCACTAACACCATACACCATTACACCATTCACCATACACCATTACACCATACACCCTGTGCCATTACACCATACACGTTACACCTTTGCACCATACACCTTTGCACCATACACCTTACACATTACACCATAATGCAATTTATTTCAAAGAAAGCATGCGACTACAAAATTATTTATTTATTTTAAAAAACAAATTTTGATCACAATATTGTAAATTAATGTATAAAATTAACAATCAGTTTTTATCAATATTTTGCATAGTTTTAAATGTCGTACACCATTCATTCACACATTCCCGATCGCACGTTACACCATTAAACCATTCCCCTTACACCATACACCTTCTACCATTGTACCATATGCCATACACATTTTTTTGGGGAAGTTTACACCATCCAAGGGCTGTACCAACAGGTTTCAGCTCTGATTAGGTTGCCAGAAAACCATTAGGTTAAATAGAAAGAAAATTGCATCCATCAACTCTAGAATTTTATCAACTCACCTCAGACTGTTTGAGAAATGGAACAGGTAATAATTTCCCTTCATAATCTACAACTGGTAAGTAGGCAACAGATTCATCATCATTGTTATCAACATTAGCACCAGCACCAATCAAATCCTCTTTTACCATTTCCGTGGTTACCAAGGATGAAAAATGTCCTCTAGTATAAGCCAAAGCTATTGGAGATTTCCAACAAAAACTTTTCTCCCACAGTAATGGCAAATAAATTCCTAAAAATGTATACAAATGTAGTGAAAAAAAATCCTACAGATCATAACAAAAAGGGTTATAAAGGGTCTACACTGAAATCTTTAAAGGCAAAAATATAGATTCCACCATTGCAACAATTGTGTTACGATATTTCTCCACTAGAGACAGTTAAATTTTAATATTTAAAGCGCGAGGCTTGCCGAGCTCTTTAAATATTAAAATTTAACTGTTGAGAGTGGATAAATATCGTAATACACGAGTTTTAGTGGTGGAATCTGTTTCTTAAATGATTTTTATCCTTCCTTTTCAAAGATTTGCAGAAAGTTGTGTTCTTTATATGTGACGTCATCAGGCATGGTCACCTTTTTTCATGACGTTACAATCGGGAATTCAGAAGAAACAAAGAAAATTTAACGTCATAATTAGATTTCGACCATTCATTTGCCGAGCAGATATTTCACTAGTGAGGAGAACAATTTTTTCACAATCGGTTGGGAAATGTGAAAATAGTGACAAAATTAGAGAAATAGAAAATACACATTGAAAGAATGTCAGGAAAAAGAGTGTTCCTTTACTGATTCTTAAATCTGCAATGCTTTTTATTTCACAGGATATAGGAGCTTCATTTAATTCAATGCTTAAAATAAATGTCATCCATAAGAAAAATTCTTCATATTTAATTCCACAGCTCTCCATATAGGTTCAGTCATGTCGAAGATTCAAATGTATCTGAGATCCTTAACAAAACATCATCTATTTTCTTTACAAATTCATTATTGGTACATACCCTGAAAACGAGCAAATCCCAGAGTTTCTCCTCTAAAACTTTTAACATACTTAATACCATACACAATTATTGGACGTCTTAGGATATGGGATAAACAGAAAATATGGGTCTGTTCTAAAGCTGCACCTACAACAAAAAATAGTTCAAATACATTTTTGCAAATGACATCAAAACTTTGTCAAGAGATTACAATCTATGAACTGCAAGTAACTATTAGATTTGTCTTGTATAAGTCCCTTTCTTAGCTCACCTGGCCAAAAAGGACCAAGTGAGCTTTTCTCATCACTTGGCGTCCTTCGTTGTCGTCGTCTTCCGTTAGCTTTTACAAAAATCTTCTCCTCTGAAACTACTGGGCCAAATGAAACCAAACTTGGCCTAAATCATCCTTAGGGTAAGTTTAAATGAAATGCTCCGCTGGTCGCAGCTTGATACGACCACAGAGGTCGAACCCTGAAAAGTTGGGGCAAGTATGGACACAACATTCAAGCTTGATACAGCTCTGAATTTGGATTGTGATTAAATATTTGACACAGCATAGGTTTCTGACACAGAATGAATGTGGTCTAAGAACTTAAAAATTATGAATTTACCTATTATGGTCCAATATCTAAATACATACTCGGTTAGATTCAGCATATCAAAGAACCCCAAGAATTCAATTTTAGTTTAATTTTGGACCCTTTGGACCTAAATGTAGACCAATTTGAAAACGGGACCAAAAATTAAGAATCTAAATACATGGTTAGTATCAGCACATCAAAGAACCCCAATATTTCAATTTTTGATGAAATCACACCATATCATTATTATTTGCTTTTATATATAAATAAAAAATAACCAACTTAAAATGGAAAATTTCAAAGAAAAAAAAAATCCCACCCCCAATTTTTTGAACCCCCTTATGATTCATCATACCCAAACTCAATCCCAGCCTTCCCATTGTGGTATGGGACCTTGCAGTACAATTTCAGAGAGATCCATACACTTGAACACAAGTTATTATCAGGAAACTGTAAAAATGCTTGTTTTTTGGCCCCAAATTCCTAAACGTTTAGGGCGATTACCCCCAAACTCAAACCCAGCTTTCCCTTTGTGATATGGAACCTTGTAGTACAATTTCATAAAGATCCATACACTTACACACAAGTTATTGTCCTGAAACTAGAAAAATGCTTGTTTTTTTTCCCCCTTTTTGGCCCCTAATTCCTAAAATTTTGAGGGAATTACCCCCAAAATCAATCCCAGCCTTCCCTATGTGGTATGGTACCTTGCAGTACAATTTTAGAAAGATCCATACACTTGAACACAAGTAATTGTCTGGAAACTAGAAAAATGCTTATTCTTGGCCCCTTTTTCCTAAACGTTTTGGGCAATTACCCCCAAACTCAATTCCAGCTTTCCCTTTGTGATATGGAACCTTGTAGAACAATTTCAGAAAGATCCATACACTTACACACAAGTTATTGTCATGAAACTAGAAAAATGCTTGTTTTTTCCCCTTTTTCTGCCCCTAATTCCTACAACTTTGAGGCAATTACCCCCAAAATCTATCCCAGCATTCCCTTTGTGATATGGAACCTTGTGGTACAATGTCAGATGATCCATACACTAACACACAAGTTATTGTCTGGAGGTTACAAAAATGCTTATTTTTGGCCCCTAATTCCTTAACTGTTGGTACCATAACCCCCAAAATCAATCCCAACCTTCCCTTTGTGATATGGAACCTTATGGTAAAATTTCATAGAGATCCATTCACTTAAACTAAAGTTATTGTGCGAAAACCCATGTGTGTTCGGACGACGACGACAACTCCAACATCATACCAATATAAAAATGTATCCGATGACCCCGCCCATCAACCAAAATGTTCATCAGGTCAAGATCTATCTGCTGAAAACTTTTCAGACGCATCAGACAACCCATTGTTGGGTTGCTGCCTCTTAATTGGTAATTTTAAGGAAATTTTGCAGGTTTTGGTTATTATCTTGAATATTATAATAGAAAGAGATAAACTGTAAACAGCAAAAATGTTCAGCAAAGTAAGATCTACAAATAAGTCAATTTGACCAAAATTGTCGATTGATCCCTTCAGGAGTTATTGCCCTTAAAATCAATTTTTTAACAATTTTTCGTAAATTTTTTAATCTTTTACAGAAATCTTTTCTTCTACAACTACTGGGCCAAGTTCATTATAGATAGAGATAGATGTAAACAGAAAGAATGTTCAGTAAAGTAAGATCTACAAACAAGTCTATCACCAAAACAGAGAATTTTGTCATGAATTCTATTCTTGTCTTTAATGTTGTAGAGTGTTCTTTGTTTAATATGCACTGCAGCACATAGACCAAGGTGAGCGACACCAGCTCTTTAGAGCCTCTAGTTTAATGTTGTTATGGTTTCTCCTAATTGGTATTTTTTATGTTCTCTTTCTTATAGTACAATAATTATTTTCATGCAGGTCTTTGATTGTCTTTATTGGAATGTTTCTAAGTTTGTCAATATTCCAAACTACTTCGGGTTTTAGATGCAAAAAAGTGGCCATCTTGAATAAATGGTGGCAACAATGAAAATTTAGATTTTTTCCTTTAAAAATTAAACGGTTTGTACATGTTGTATTTCTTAACATTTGTCTATGTCTTTTCTTATTCTATTTATACTAATGTTTTCTTTAGATCTTTGTTTTTTTCTGTTAAAAAGTTTCTGGAAATTTAGAGCTTCAATCCTTGTTGATATCAACCAAATTTATATTATATTATTTTATATTTATATGTATTATGTTATGTATAATGCAGAATTGATTTTGGTAATTATTTACAAGTTGTATCAATAAAGGAGTATGTTCGATAAGGCCCTGAAATGGCCCCGTTTTTTAGCTTAAATTTCAAAGTAGGATTTATTGACCAATATCACAATGAATCATAGCTAATACAGTGACTAGATAGGAAATTAGCCTTTTTGTTGAAAATTTACATACCTGCGTTTTATTCATGACGTCACAAATAGTACTCATTTTGATTTTTCACAGAAAAATCAATAATAATGGGTAAATTTCCATTGATTATTGGACAGGAAACATAGAGAGCATATGTTGACAAAAAAGATCTTTTAAAATAATGTTTGTAATGACATTTCACATGTTTTAACATGAATATTTAGTTTGTCGACGCCTGTGCTGTATGTTTCCTAATCCTAAATTAGGTTGAAATCCAGCAGATTTTGTCAAATGTCGCCAAAATCTCTTATCTTGACCTATTTGGGATGTAAAAATCAACGCTTTAGAATAAAACTTTGACACAAATAGGTCTATTTAACTTTCTCACATGTCTTTAAGTCAACTTAAAACATTTTTTATCTTGTAACATTGAACTTTATAATCGGGGCCAAATATGGCCCTTACAGAACATACTCCTTTTAAAAAAAAAGTCCATAGAACTGAAACTCATAGCGTAAGGATTATAACGTGAATGATGAGATACACTACTGATAAATGATTTTACAAAATGAAATATACCTGGTTGGCTAGCAATACTAAGAAGTAACGCCCAATCATTCTGCCACTGTGCTTCATCCAGACTGAACTGTAACATTTCTGCCTGATATGATTCATACTCCTTCCAACGTGGGTAGAACCTAAAAATCGATGTGAAAAAATATTAGAAGTTTAATTTTCTTTACATATATATATTCAGTCTTCCAGAAAAAAACTTTTGGACTTGCAAGCCAGAAAATCAGTCTTTCATAAAAAAAAAAAACAACTTTATAAGACAGGTTCAGGAAATTTTAACTGGCCACTCATCATTTTTGCTGGCCTGGGCTTTTGGGAAGAAGAAGAAGACTGGATGATACTGAAATACTTGCTGACTATAAAAGAATGAACTTCCTCTAAACCAGCTTTATCATGAATATATATTTACAAATAGAACCACTTATCAAATCAAAGTGCTTGTGAGCACTGAAAGGGTAAAGATTGCTTTAATTTTGCAATTTTGTGAATTCAAATAAAACATTGAATTGTAATTAGCTAAGCAAATTATAAATTTCAGTTGGAGTTATCTTCCTTTGTTCATAATTGTATATTGTAGTTGATATAAAGATAAGAAGATGTGGTACAGTGCATGATTGCCAATGAGACAACTCTCCACAAGAGACCAAATGACACAGAAATTAACAACTATAGGTAACCGTACAGCCTTCAACAATGAGCAAAGCCAATACCACATAGTCAGCTATAAAAGGCCACGAAATGACAAATGTAAAACAATTCAAACGAGAAAAACTAACAGCCTAATTTATGTACAAAATAATGAACAAAACACAAATATGTTACATAGCAACAAACGACAACCACTGAACCACAGGCTCCTGACTTGGAACAGGCACTTACAGAATGTGGTGTAACAGTACAACATAAGAACAGACTATAAAAATCAGTTGAAAAAGGCTTAACTCATCAGATGGATACAAATAGAAATACATCTAACAAAAACACAGAGTGGAATTTGACAGATACTTATACATCCCCACAACAAAAAAGACACTAAGTACAGATCTGAGAGTACTTGCAGTTACTGACTGCTAGTTCAAAGCCAATAACAACTAATAAAAAAATCATGCATCTAAGACTATTTTTAAAACAGATTCATATGACATGCATTACTAATGTAATTTTCAATATAGAAAAGTTTTCTTGACAAGTATGGTAATTCAAAAACACATCATATTGTAACTTGAATATTTAATTACAATATATCATTAATAAATTGCTTGATATTGACTGGATAGGATCTAAAGAATGATCACATCACTGCATTACTTTGTTTGAAAACTCAAAAGGTAGTGATAAACCTTAGAAGATTTAAATATCAAGTCAGTATCATAGGATTTTGATTGCATTTTAAGCAATCATTACCTAAAAATACATAATTTAACTGAGAACAAATATTGTGTTGCATAGCAGTTCTGACTGATCTTTTCTATCCTATTGATTTTATGGAAATACAGATTCCTACACTGTAACAAGTGTGTTACTATATATCTCCACTGGTCGCCTTTTTTCATGACGTCACAATAGGAAATTCAAAAGAAACCAAAAAAAATTTGACGTCATAATTAAATTTTGACCAATCATTTGCCGAGAATAGATATTTATCTAGCGAACAGAACATTTTTTTCACAATCGTTTTGGAAAAATAAAAATAGTGAAAAAATTAGAGAATAAAACGTTTTTACTTACATCATAGCAGCATCACTGAGACTTTCTGATAAAGCATTCCTGAGTGTATTATCTGTGTCGAATATCCCCCATGTGGCTTGGAGAACTGAGTCTAATAGACAATCACCAGCAGTTCTATTCCACAGGGCGTATAACCTACTGCCAAGCCTTTCTGTTAATTCTTTACTCCAGTTTATCACTAAATCTTCTTCCAATTCTATATATTCAAACAAATCACAATGATAAACCCTAGTCAACTGTCTATAATAACTGTAACAAAGGTCATGCCTTACAGTCATCAAAATTTCAAGTACAATTATGGCACTCAGACTCAGAATTCAACCAATCAAAACATTGGATTTGGGATTTGGAGCACAAATTTTGTGCTCTGAGTACTCAGTAGAAATTTATGACCCTAGGCCCAGGTAATAAGTAGGAATCTCTTTAGATCTTAGTACAAAAGGGAAAAAAATTAATTGGTCTCCAATTATATTCTATGGAATACCTTTTTTTCACTAATTCATAATATTTGAAATGATTTTTCTCGTTTATTACAGCTGTGCAATGTATGACAATAATTAGGTGTTCCGCTGTAAAAACTGCAGAAGATTTTTATAGCTTATAATTCTAAATGAAATATTATTTCCTTCATATTTTACATTGTATATTTCTAAAAGAGGCCATTTTTTTTGCTTGCCAATTTTTAACTAAAAACTTACCTTTTTGAACATCATTATCCAAGACTTCATCAAACAACTGAGTCTGCACAGGGCTAGGTAAGTTGTTAATGCCTGCAAAGTAAAGCACAGTACAAACATGACAAAGATGAAAAACTGAAACAATATTAGTTTTTATCAAAAATCAATAAACTTTTATTAAAATGTAAAATCTATCAAAACAGACAACAGGCAGTTAAATAACCAACCTGAAAGCAAAATTTGAAATTATATGTAACATACATTTTTATATGTACTTCGTGAATAGATAACAAAAAATCAGCTTGTGCAAATGTTTGTATATCAAATGAGTTACCTGAAAAAATACAATCTGCATTTACTTATTTTTATATACATGTACATGTACAAATGTGCAGGTATAAAATACATATACATAATAATATGTAATAAACTTACCAGTGGGTAAAGAAAATGTAACACTTTCTGACATAATCTGACAAGGGAATTCCCCTTTTCTCTGTCTAAGTGATGCTGATATCAAACGACGGATATCTGCTGCAAGATCAGGACTTATGTGTGATGGCAGTCGTTTTTTACAATTAGTAGCTGATTCTGTACTGGTTAATAACACAGCTAACATATCTTCTCGTTTGAATCTTATACCTAAATGTACTAATGTATATCCAGGTTGGAAGGCGCTCGGGCGATTCAGGATAGCGGCTTCATCCTGGCTTAATTGTCTATAAGGGTCCCCACCAGAGGCAATATAAGCTTCCACAGCTTGAGCTTCACCTTCAACAACTCCAACACAGGCATTCAACCATAACCAATCTTTCTCTCGCATTCGCTTTTTAATTTGTTTGAGTTTACGCTCCATTGATTTATTGTCCTCTTGGTTATTTACAGCAGTGGCCAAACTGGTATCAGATAAACTGCTTTGAACACCTGATGCACAACCCGAACCAGTAGGTGATCCAGAAGTTGGACTGTTTTCACAAGACAGTATAGTATTTGTAATTTCTGGAGAAGTTCTTCCTTTACTAGTTCCACAAATACAACACTTGAAACTCCTTGGCCAGTTCTCGTAAGTACAACTTTTACATATCCATTTTACTCTTGCATAAGTTTTTTGCCTATTAATATCATTGTTAGATGTTTTATTAGCTGCCTTTGGTGATGACGGTATATCTCGATGTGGAGGTGTCTTTCTTGGTGTGATTGCCTCCCCTGACAAGGGACCAGATGGGACCTTTTCATGAGTAGGAGAGGCACTAGGAGGGGAAGACTTCTTGTTTTTCGGGGTATAGCACTGAACACATCTTACAGCCTTTGGCCAATTCAAATATGTACATGTACGACAGTTCCACTTATTTAGTTTTGACGAGCAAATAACTACACTGTTTTCCCTATTGTTTCCTGATTTGACAGCCATTTTATAAATGTCCTGTTCTTCATTGTGAAGGTCAGTAATAATAAGTGGAGATCCTCGTGAAGCATGGCAGAGTGTACATTTTATAGCAGCTTCAAAGTTCTGGTACGTACAGTATTCACAGGACCACTTTTTCCTTGCATCTGCCATGATGTACTAGTACCTTTCTGATACCAATCAGGCTGAAGCTGCCCTGAAAATATACATATATATATATACATACTATATCACAGTTTCTGAAAAGCTGTGTAATTTCAAATGTTATGTCAAAAATTAGTTAATTTAAAACCAACATGTACTTAATATGCCTATATACAAGTGTAAATAGATTCAAAGATATTAATAAATGTGGATAGTGTCCACATGTGGGCACAGATGATGCCCCTGCTTGCATATCATATAGTTATAAAGGGACATAACTGACATAACTCAAGAATGGTAAAAGTGTCCCCTCCAAATTTCGTACTTAATCTGTAATATGTAGTAATAAGCATTGTGTATAAGTTTCATAACATTTGGTTGAGGCAAACTAAAGTTAGAAAACGGAAACAGAAAATCTGTACTTGATCTTAGATTTGTGGTAATGAATATTGTGTATAGGTTTCATAATGTTTGGTTGAGGCAAACTTAAGTTACAGAATAGAAACTAAAAATTTTGCGATCTTTCGATTTATAAATATAAAGGGCATAACTCAATAATGGTTAAAGTGACACTACCCAAATTCAACTTGATCTGTGTTTTAACAGTGGAAGTCAAAATTTAACATTGCATTGTATAAAACATTGATTGTAGTTGATTCAACTATAATCATGGACAAAGGAAGATAACTCCAATTTTAATAAAATGCTCCGCTGGGCGCAGCTTGATACGACCGCAGAGGTCGAACCCTGAACAGTTGGGGCAAGTATGGACACAACATTCAAGCTTGATACAACACTGAATTTGGATTGTGATTAAATATTTGACACAGCATAGGTTTCTGACACAGAATGAATGTGGTCTAAGAACCTAAAAAATTTTAATTTACCTATTCAAACCATAGCATTATTATTTGCTTTTATATATAAATCAGAAATAACCAATTTAAAATGGAAAATTTTAGGGAAAAAAAAAATCCCCCCCTCCCCAATTTTTTGAACCCCCTTATGATTCATCACCCCCAAACTCAATCCCAGCCTTCCCTTTGTGTTATGGTACCTTGCAGTACAATTTCAGAGAGATTCATACAATTGAACACAAGTTATTGTCTGGAAACTAGAAAAATGCTTGTTTTTTTGGCCCCTTTTTGACCCCAAATTCCGAAATGTTTAGGGCAATTACCCCCAAACTCAAACCCAGCTTTCCCTTTGTGATATGGAACCTTGTAGTACAATTTCATAAAGATCCATACACTTACACATAAGTTATTGTCCTGAAACTAGAAAAATGCTTGTTTTTTGCCCCTTTTTGGCCCCTAATTCCTAAAATTTTGAGGCAATTACCCCCAAAATCAATCCCAGCCTTCTCTTTGTGGAATGGTACCTTGCAGTACAATTTCAGAGAAATCCATACACTTAAACACACGTTATTGTCTGGAAACTAGAAAAATGCTTATTTTTGGCCCCTTATTCCTAAATGTTTTGGGCAATTACCCCCAAACTCAATTCAAGCTTTCCCTTTGTGATATGGAACCTTGTAGTACAATTTCACAAAGATCCATACACTTACACACAATGTGATGTTTGTGAAAGGAGGATTTTGAAAATAAATAATTATATAACTTGGCCTGGAAAGAACTGAAAATATATGGCTTTGCAGAAGGCAGGATGAAAATGAATATTCTGATTCTGCAACATAAAATGCAGTATAGTTGAGGATACAAATGACTTTGTGTACAAAATGATAATAAATTAACATGCATAGCAACTTTGGAAAATAAATCATCAATCCAGAAAAAATTATGCTGCCTCCTACCCCCCACCCCCACCCCTACTCCTGAACATTAAATGGTAGTACCCAAATTACTGAGGACATCATCCTATATCAAAGCTTTCGTTAATAGGCATTGTTCCACCTTTATTTAAAGTAAAAGTCTTCCAAAGAAAGAAAGATGCAACAATCATGGTTTCAAATTAATGAAGATTCCAAAGGTTGGCCTTTAATTTTGTTTGATGCTTTCCTTAGACCTGAGAGAAATTTATTGTACATGTAATTATGGTGAACAAATAAAACATCTAAACAGCTTTAATTGTTTAAAATTTGTTACAGTAACATTGAAATTGTTATTACTAACTATAGGCAAACTTTTTAAACAGTTAAACAATGTACACTGTTTTAGATGTCAAATAGTAACTATTTTTATGTTATAAATATCTTTTTAAGTTAACAATTGTTTTGTTTTAATCTTTATTTGTAATTGTAACATTTTTATTTGTATACAGTTCTATTGAAATGCTGAGAAAAAAAAATGGAAGTAACATGTATACATGTTTTTTTCTCTTTAAATTTTTACTTGAGTTATCTTTCTTTGAACTATCTTATTTGAGAAGCATCATACACAGAAGAAGTGAATTCAATTAATTTAAAACCAACGTGTACTTTTAAATATGCCTATATACAAGTGTAAATAGATCCCAAGATATTAATAAATGTCGATAGTGTCCACATGTGGACACAGATGATGCCCCCCCTTGCATATCATATAGTTATAAAGGGACATAACTGAAGAACGGTAAAAGTGATGCTACCCAAATTAGAACTTGATCTGAGTTTTGTGATAATAAGCGTGTATAAGTCTCATAACATTTGGTTGAGGCTTACTTTAGTAGAGAACAGAAACTAAAAATTCAGCAATTTTTCTATTTGTATACACGCATAACTCTAGAACGGTTGTGTATAAGTTTTATAACATTTGGTTGAGACAAACTAAAGTTTGAGAACAGAAAAAAAAAATTCAGCAATTTTTATGTTTATAAAGGGACATAACTCAAGAATGGTAAAAGTGTCCCTTCCAAATTTCGTACTTAATCTGTAATATGTAGTAATAAGCATTGTGTATAAGTTTCATAACATTTGGTTGAGGCAAACTAAAGTTAGAAAACGGAAACAGAAAATCTGTACTTGATCTTAGATTTGTGGTAATGAATATTTTGTATAGGTTTCATAATGTTTGGTTGAGGCAAACTTAAGTTACAGAATAGAAACTAAAAATTTTGCGATCTTTCGATTTATAAATATAAAGGGCATAACTCAATAATGGTTAAAGTGACACTTCCCAAATTCAACTTGATCTGTGTTTTAACAGTGGAAGTCAAAATTTAACATTGCATTGTATAAAGCATTGATTGTAGTTGATTCAACTATAATCATGGACAAAGGAAGATAACTCCAATTTTAATAAAATGCTCCGCTGGGCGCAGCTTGATACGACCGCAGAGGTCGAACCCTGAACAGTTGGGGCAAGTATGGACACAACATTCAAGCTTGATACAACACTGAATTTGGATTGTGATTAAATATTTGACACAGCATAGGTTTCTGACACAGAATGAATGTGGTCTAAGAACCTAAAAAAATTTAATTTACCTATTCAAACCATAGCATTATTATTTGCTTTTATATATAAATCAGAAATAACCAATTTAAAATGGAAAATTTTAAAGAAAAAAAAATCCCCTCCTCCCCAATTTCTTGAACCCCCTTATGATTCATCACCCCCAAACTCAATCCCAGCCTTCCCTTTGTGTTATGGTACCTTGCAGTACAATTTCAGAGAGATCCATACACTTGAAGACAAGTTATTGTCTGGAAACTAGAAAAATGCTTGTTTTTTTGGCCCCTTTTTGACCCCAAATTCCTAAACGTTTAGGGCAATTACCCTCAAACTCAAACCCAGCTTTCCCTTTGTGATATAGAACCTTGTAGTACAATTTCTTAAAGATCCATACACTTACACACAAGTTATTGTCCTGAAACTAGAAAAATGCTTGTTTTTTGCCCCTTTTTGGCCCCTAATTCCTAAAATTTTGAGGCAATTACCCCCAAAATCAATCCCAGCCTTCTCTTTGTGGAATGGTACCTTGCAGTACAATTTCAGAGAGATCAATACACTTAAACACAAGTTATTGTCTGGAAACTAGAAAAATGCTTATTTTTGGCCCCTTATTCCTAAATGTTTTGGGCAATTACCCCCAAACTCAATTCAAGCTTTCCCTTTGTGATATGGAACCTTGTAGTACAATTTCACAAAGATCCATACACTTACACACAATGTGATGTTTGTGAAAGGAGGATTTTGAAAATAAATAATTACAATGTATATAACTTGGCCTGGAAAGAACTGAAAATATATGGCTTTGCAGAAGGCAGGATGAAAATGAATATTCTGATTCTGCAACATAAAATGCAGTATAGTTGAGGATACAAATGACTTTGTGTACAAAATGATAATAAATTAACATGCATAGCAACTTTGGAAAATAAATCATCAATCCAGAAAAAATTATGCTGCCTCCTACCCCCCACCCCTACTCCTGAACATTAATGGTAGTACCCAAATTACTGAGGACATCATCCTATATCAAAGCTTTCGTTAATAGGCATTGTTCCACCTTTCTTTAAAGTAAAAGTCTTCCAAAGAAAGAAAGGTGCAACAATCATGGTTTCAAATTAATGAAGATTTCAAAGGTTGGCCTTTAATTTTGTTTGATGCTTTCCTTAGACCTGAGAGAAATTTATTGTACATGTAATTATGGTGAACAAATAAAACATCTAAACAGCTTTAATTGTTTAAAATTTGTTACAGTAACACTGAAATTGTTATTATTTAATATAGGTAAACTTTTTAAACAGTTAAACAATGTACACTGTTTTAGATGTCAAATAGTAACTATTTTTATGTTATAAATATCTTTTTAAGTTAACAATTGTTTTGTTTTAATCTTTATTTGTTATTGTAACACTTTTATTTGTATACTATTGAAATGCTGAGAAAAAAAATGGCATGTATACATGTTTTTTCTCCTTAAATTTTTACTTGAGTTATCTTTCTTTGAACTATCTTATTTGAGGAGCATTAAACACAGAAGAAGTGAATTCAATGAGCGTATGGATGGGGGTCCTTCATTTCTGTATTCTTTAATTTTTTTGCCCATTATTCTATATTCTGTAAACTCCATCCGCACCCTTTTCAATTGCACCAACATGATCTCAGA